ACAAAAACTTAAATAATGTTATTTATTACACTTAAACAATATTCTATTACTAGCGAGAGCCCGTGCATACTGCATGGACGCTTTTTTTCTAATAAAGTTTCACATCTGTCCTTTAGCCTTGATTCGGTAATAGACAATCAGACAGTTCGCATTACATATATATATATAGAGAGAGAGACCTCATAGTCTTACTTCCTATAGCCTTATACTCTTGTGGTATTAATTCTTACAGGCTTATTCCTTTATTCCCTTATCCCTTATATCCCATGCAGCATCCTCTACTTATCTGCTATATCTTTATCTCCTTATACTCTTTTAGCTTTATCGCTTATGCTCCTGTAGCTTTAGCCTCTTATTTCCTTACCAACTTATAGCCTCATATTCCTGTAGCCTTATCTCCAAGGGGGAAACAGCAGAGACTTCAGCCGTGAAGCCCCATGAAGTCTTGTAAGTCTTGTGAAGTCTTGTGAAGTCTCTTGAAGTCTTATGAATTCTCATAAAGTCTCTTGAAGTCTCTGAAGTCTGTGAAGTCTCTTGAAGTCTCATGAAGTCTCTTGAAGTCTCTTGAGGGTGTGGGTATGGGGTGTGGGTGGATGTGCATGTGAATGAATAATATATTATTACCCACACCCACACCCACCACACCACCACCCACATCATCATCCACACCCACACCCCACAACCTAGAATTTATATGAGAAAGAATGATTATTTATTCGCAAACGATTTGAATCTTGATAGAAGAAAATAGTAGAATGGTTAAAATTTTAGGGTCTCAAGTATTAGTATCACGTCCATGCCTTCATACTTACACTAAGAATATTTTAGCCCTTTTAGTTCTTTTAGCATGTGAGTTTAAGTTTGAGCGTGCGTGTTCCCTTTACTTTTACACTCGCTAAAAGGTGAAAAGCTTGTCAGCGCAACTCTTTTGGGGCTGAAATGTAAAACTCACGTATGTTCTTCAGCTTCATTATATTAACATGAAATATAGAACGTATAAAATCAAGAATTTCTAAACTTTTTAATTTTCTGACGGGCGTCCTTATGTTTCGTTTTATTGTTGCTATTCGTTCAGTATTTTTCGTTTTTCACATTCTTGTTTGTCTTAATTCTATATTTGTTCTTTTTTATTATAAGCATTGAATTAGATGGTAAATGAAACTATTATATATGTATATATTTATTTATTTATCCATTATTTAATCCTCGTTGCTAAGGTCTGTAATGGGGAGTGTCTGTAATGGGGGCTGTCTGTAATAGGTAGTTGTCTGTAATGGGGGAGGGGGGAGTGGGTATGTCTGTAACGTTCTCTTTCTCCGTTGCTAAGTGTCTGTAATGGGGTGGAGGGAGGGGGAGCCGCCAAACCTCGAACTGAAAACTTACACTCACTATTTTCTTCGAAAATATACGTGAGTTCCACAAAACAGACTTTTGGGACCAATCAATTTTCAATATCATTCCTGTTCGTGGTTCTCGAAAGACACTAGTTACTCTTTTATGAATAAGGGTGTCAATTTATATTTATTATAAAGTAAACGATAAATGACACCCCTACTATTTGATAAGTTTTGTTTTTTTGCATGTTATAGAGGTTTCATGTAATTTCTATGAGGTTTTTTGATACGCATGGAATCTGCCTCTTGAAGTTCTGTGAAGTCTTGTGAAGTCTTATGAAGTCTTGTGAAGTCTTATGAAGTCTTGTGAAGTCTTATGAAGTCTTGTGAAGTTCTATGAAGTCTTGTGAAGTCTTATGAAGTCTGATGAAGTCTTATAAAGTCTCAAGAAGTCCTACAAAGTCTCTGAAGTCTCATGAAGTCCGTGAAGTATCACGAAGTCTGTGAAGTCTAACGAAATCTTTGGAAGTCTTTTGAAGTCCCATGAAGTCCCATGAAGTCATACGAAGTCTTATGAAGTCTTGCGAAGTCATTTGAAGTCCTCAGAAGTCTTTAGAAGTCTTTCGAAGTCTTGTGAAAATATAAAGTCACAGCGGCTGAAGTCTGATGAAGTCTGTTGAAGTCTTTTAAAGTCTTGAAGTCTTGAAGTCCGCTGTTTCCCCCTTGTATTCTTTACTTAATTTAATGGTATTAGTAGAATTATTTGTGCTGTATATCCTTCACCTAAATTTAATAATTTCCGATCAATATTTATTATCCACTTATTGAAATCAGAAAAGGAATCCACCCGTATTGTTGACTAAGATACGTTCTTAATGAATTTTCTCGTTTTGAATTCTTTAAAAAAAATTCTGAACATTCTTTCTTTTATCTCCTTTTTCTCCTTATTTTATTTAATGTTGCATTGTCAATCTCGATATATAGGCACAACAAAAAAAATAAATGTTTAAAAAAAATTATCCATAAACATTTTAATCAAAAATATTTGATAGATTAGCTTTATAATTAATCAAATATAACATCAACAATAGGAGATAAAAAAATTGTTCATATTCAACCTTTATGTTTAGATATTCTATTCATTGACTTTCATTTCAGATAAAGATCGTTCTTTCAAATTAATTTCAGATCAAAGTTTTTTGAACCCGGAATCAGATTTAGTTCAAGTCTGAAAATTTTATACAAATTAGGTTCAATTCTAGGTGCAGAAATCTTCGACCCAACGAGTGCTAACTTGAACTGACAATCTGAAAAGTAATCAATATTTTCGATCATGTTTTTTACTTTTATCTTAAGGTTAGAATCAAAGCGATGGATTACAATAATTTTTTATTGATTTATTAATAGGAGATACAATATAAAAAAAAACAATACTTATCATCGAAAACAAATCTTGCTATATACTCATGAGTGAAAAGCGAAGTGTATCTGATTTAAAGTTGGTAGTATTTTGACTAGATTGAAGGATCTCAATTTTTCAATAATAAATAGAGAAAATTTTCTATTTGATTAATTTTCGATAAAATGTTCGTGAAGAACTATAATTAGATTTCAGTTATGTCGATCATCATCTTATTCATTGTAAAATCATATTGATTTATTAGAAAGAAAAATTCATCGAATAAAATCGAACGTAAACAAATAAGATTAGATGAACATAGGATAGAAATACACATATACAATTTTTTTTAATGTTCATTTTTTGTTGTTTCTATAAGGTGAAGTTGATAAAATAAAGATCAAAAAGAATGAAAGAGAACGATAAGAATAAAATATAATGAGAAAGGAGGAGAAAAAGAAAGAAACAAAAAGATTTCATTATAAGTACGTAGATTAATGACATCTTACGTGGAAGAAGAATAGATATGAACAGAGAGAGAGGATAGAGAGAAAAAAATGGTTTGATAATAAACACACATACATACATAAAATCAAACAGATAAGATAAAGAACGTTTTTAATTCATTCTATCTAGAAAGATAAAGAAAGATCATATCAAAATGAAAATATTGATGATTTTAAACAAAAAATAAAAATCTGCTTTTTTTTCATAGAAATCGTCGAACTACTAAATCTGGTTGAGATTTCACTGTTGAATTCCATTTTTGTGATCTTCTAAAATTTTTTAAATAAAATACATTTAAATTTTAACCTACTTCAGAAGTTATATTGCGATAGAAAGGCATAAAAATATTTAATAGTTAATCGATGCATTATGAAGAAGGAACAAATAATCGTGAATTACTATTATGGATTGTAGGTTTAATAATAGTTGAGCCATATATAATGATATACAGTCAAAATAAATTTGATCATAAAATTGAAATATCAACATTTGAATTAATAAATAGTCTTATATCACTTGTACATGATAAATCAATGATGTCTGATGTAGCTCATACATCAATAGAATCTTTATTAGTTTTACATGAAAATCAAATATTGAATTATAGAATTCTGAACCATCAATAAATACGGCTTACTCAAATATCAAGTCAAGTACTTTTCTCAATTTCACAAAAATTAGTTTTACATCAAATATATTCATGCACATCTGTATTAAGATAGTTGAGAGAAATTCTTGTTTTATGTAATGCTTTTTTTTTTATTATATCATAAATATAATGTATATCTTAGTTCAAATATTCCAATGACCAAACACGCACATATGAAACTTGAAATTGTTTTTTTTTTAATTTATTTATTTGTAACCAATTGATCCAGAAGCTGTTAAAATTGCCATGTTATGTTTTACTTTATTTGCATATGAAGCTGATATAAGATTTAATTTTAATAAAACAACTGTACTTACACTTTTACCTAATTATAATATTCATCTGAAATTATCATCAGTATCAACAATAATAGTTACAACGAGAAGAAATACATTACAAAAAACAAATTCTTTCACTATTAAGACGTATTGAATATGCAACAGCAGGAAGTAAACAAGTTTGGTATGATACATTTGTTAGTCAACAAGATTTAGCAAAGTTTTTAGCTATTTATCGAAAAAGAGTTGATAATTTAGGTAGTGGAGGATCAATATACTAACGAGGGAACATTCTCAAGTGTCACATCGCTTTTGAGTCGAACGTATGCGAATCATGTAGATCCTAATGATCTATGAATACTCTGAAAAAAAGTTCGTGCTGCTAGCTTTTTACTATCGAGATATTGCATTTT